TGTATCCTTTCTGATTTTTTTTGTAGGGGGTCTGTTTTCTGTCCATTTTTGAGAGAGTGTTTATTTAAAAAGTCTCCCTATTTTGTTACAGATTTGTGTTTCTCCTTTTAGAAGTTTATTTTTATTTTACATTTTTTAAAAAGATATTATTTATTTATTTGACAGAGAGACACAGTGAGAGAGGGAACACAAGTTGGGGAGAGGGAGAAGCAGACTTCCCACTGAGCAGGGAGCCTGATGTGGGGCTGATCCCAGGAACTCAGGATCATGACCTGAGCTGAAGGCAGACGCTTAACGACTGAGCCACCCAGGCACCCCTATTTTATATATTTTGAAATTGTCATTTGATCTAATACAGATTTGTGTGATATCTAAGGAATTGTAGTATCTGTCTTGTAGTTTAACATTTGTACTATTATAAAATGTTTTTCTTTATCTCTAGTAATGCACTTGTCCTAAAATCTACTTTGTCTACTATTAACATAGCTATGCTAGCTTTCTTTTGCTTTGTGTTTCTATTGTATATTCTTTCTATCCTTTTACTTTCAATCTCTTTATGTCCCTATATTTAGGATTTGTCTCTTCTAACTGGTATATTGTTGGCTTTATTATTTTATTTTATTTTTTAATTGAAATATAATTGACACACAATGTGTTATCTTTTAAATCTAAACTGACAAACTTAAGTCTTTTATTTTACTTAAATTTAGTGTAATTACTGATATATTTGGATTTTTATCATCTTTGTTTTCTGTTTAACCAGCTGTTTTATGTTGCTTTTTCTCTCCTTCTTGCCCTTTTTTGGATTAGTCTATTTTTCCCTTATTTGGTTTTTGTTTTGCATTACTTTGTTGGTTATGCATCCTTATGCTGGTTTTTCAGGCGATTACCCTGGAGATTATAATGTGCATCCTTAACTACTAAAGTCCAATAAAAATGATGTTTACCACTTTCCTGTTAATGAAAGAATTCTAGAACTCTAACCCCACTTATATATCCAAACATCTTTTGTGTCATTGTTGTCATACATTTTAATTTTATGAAATTTTTGAACCTCTCCAATTGTTTTATATTGCCAATATTTTTATATTTACCCACATATTAACCTTTCTGTTGCTCTTTATTCTTTTCTGCAATTATGTGCTTTCCTTCAGGGATTATTTTCCTTCTATCTGAATCATTTCTTTTAGTATTTCTTTTCATTTAGGGTTTCTAACAATGGATTCTTTCAGCATTCGTCAGAAAACCTATTTATTTTACCTTTTGTATTTTGAAAAATGTTCAGTCTTTCAGAAATGTTATAGGACTAGTACTAGTTATAGGACTAGTACTAGTAATGTTATAGGACTAGTACAGTGGACACCCATATACATGGGTGTCCACTGTACCTTGACTCACCAATTAACATTTTTACATGTTTGCTTTCTCTCCTTGTTTTTTCACCTGATCCGTTTGGGAGTTAGTTGCAGATATCATTTACCTCTAAATACTTCATTTTGCATTTACCTCTTAAGAACAAGGGTCTTCTCCTGCATAACCACAATTCAGTTATCATACACATGATTTATCATTGATACACATTCTGTCAGCTATATTCATATTTCTCTATGTCCCAGTAATGTACTTGATTTTATTTTGTTTTGATTTTTGCTATTTTCAATCTGGGATCCAATCAAGAATCATGCATTGCATCTAGTTGTAATGTTTTCTTGGTCTCCTTTTATACAGAACTGTTTCTAGCTATGAAAGTCTAGATGGCATCTTCTTCCATTATGAGGCTAGTTCATCTACATTGAAAATCTGTTGTTTAGTGTAGCCACCTTCATTAAATATTCTAGTTAGATCTTCTGGAGAACTGGCTGCAGCTTTTACATCACCACTGTGGCTTCACCTTGCACTTTTATGTTATGGAGACAGCTTCTTCTTTAAACCTCTGCTAATTTCAGACTTTTCTTCTGCAGCTTCCTTACCTCTCAACCATCATAGAATTGAAGAGAGTTAGGGCCTTGCTCTGGATTAGGCTTTGGCTTAAGGGAATGTTGTGGCTGGTTTGATCTTCCATCCAGACTACTAAAGCTTTCTCCCGTTTCTACAATAAGGCTGTTTCACTTTTCTTATCATTTGTGAGTTCACTGGAATAGCACTTTTCATTTCCTTTAAGAACTTTTTCTTTACATTTACAACCTGGCTATTTGGTGCAAGAGGTCTAGCTTTCAGCCCGTTTCAGCTTTTGACATACCTTCATCCTTAAGCTTAATCATTTCTAGCTTTTGATTCAAAGTGAGAGATGCACGACTATTTCTTTCACTTGAACACTTAAAGGCTATTGTAGGTCCAATTTCAGTATTGTTGTTTCTCAGGGAATAGGGAGGCCCAAGGAGAGGAAGAGAGTCGGGGGGATGGTCTGTTGGTGGAGCAGTCAGAACACATACAACATTTATCAATAAAGTTTGCCATCTTATATGGGTGGGGTTCATGACACCCTAAAACAATTACAGTAACATCCAAGATCACTGACCACATATCACCATAGTAAATATAATAACGAAAAAGTTTGAAATATCGTGAGAATCCTCAAAATGTGACGCAGAGACATAAAGTGAGCAAATGCTGTTGGAAAAATGGCTTTGATAGACTTCCTTGATGCAGGGTTGCCACAAACCTTCAATTTGTAAAGAATACAGTATCTGTGAAGTTCATTAAAGCCAGGTATAATAAAATGAGGTATGCCTATAATTTTTATTTAACCAAAGGAATATTAACAGTTGTGTGTAGACAAAAGTGAGGATTTTGTATGGGAAAGTAAGTTTCTTATTTCAAGAGCACCTTCTTTTCTTGGTATAGTGAAATGCAGTTTTTTAAATCAATAATACTCTTTCATTGGAAGGTTGGGTTGTTGTGTTTTCTGATTTGGTGACTCCCTTTTGTGTCAGTGGATCCTTACTTTTATTTTCTTGCTGCCTTCTTTACCTTCACTATCAAGTCTCAATGGAGAACTTTCAGTTCACCCCTTCTTCCCCCAGAAGTCGTGTCTTCTTGAAGCTATCTCCTTAGGTCCTGAACAGTTTCAAGTCACTTGCTTTTGGTTTCCTAGTAGCTTGTGTTTTAATATCCTAGATCTTGGGATGCCTGGGTGGCTCAGTTGGTTAAGCATCTGCCTTTGGCTCAGGTCATGATCCCAGGGTCCTGGGATCGAGTCCCATGTTGGACTCCTTGCTCAACAGGGAGCCTGCTTTCCCTCTGCCTGCTGCTCCCCCTGTTTGTGCTCTCTCTGTCTCTCTGACAAATAAATAAATCTTAATATCCTAGATCTTAAACCTCTTTTCAGTATTTTCATAATCAAGTGGGATTTTCTCCTTTACGGGTTTATCTTTGTTCCATCAGCCCTTGATTATCCACACCTTTCTTTTTCTTCCTTTCTTCTTTTCCTTCCTCTTGCCCTCTCTTTCCCTCCCTCTTTTCTCCCTTCCTCCCTCCCTTCTGTCTTACTCCCTTCCTTCCTTCCTCTCTGGCTCAACACTTTTTCTTGTCTCTCACCACAGGCATAAGCTTTGCAGATGAGTCTCCTAGATTTGAGTATTTTTCTCCTTGTAGGTAACTTGAAGTTAATTTTATCTGTCCCCTGGTTTTGATGAAGGCATGAGTTATGGGTCATTTTATTTGCTTATTTGCTTGTTGATTTGTATGGTTTTTTGGAGGATACATGGAGAAATTCAGATTTAGGCAACCACTGTTAAGCTCTATGGCCCAGAAGTCATCACCTCCATTTTTGAAGAATACTTTTGTTGAGTAGAGAATTGCAGTTTGACATGACAGTGGCCCTAGGATAAAAGCAGCTACAGGAGCCAGCATATCTTTCCAAGGTTCTTTCTTTGCAGTTTTAGCTCCTCTACTTCTTGCCTCAACTGGTGTCCACTAAATTATCTGGCTTTTCTTATATTTCTAGGTTGGGAGTGTTGTTTAGGTCATCAGGTGTTCCATCCCATCCTGATGCACATTTCAGCCAATATCTTGAGGCTTCATATCCTTAATTTTTAAATTTATCCATGACATCATGAATTGTCATAATACTTTTATTAAAACTTCGTGTATTAAGGACCCCTAGACCACTCCCCAATTTGATGATTTGCTAGGAAGACTCACAGTACCAGCATATAGTTGCATTCATGGCTAAGATTTATTGCAGCAAAAATGGTATGAAGTAAAATCATCAAAGGGAAAAGGCTCATGGCTCAAGTCCAGAGGAAACCAAGCACAAGCTTCCCAGAATCCTTTCCCAGAAGAGTCTCATGGACATGCTTTATTCCTCTATCAATGAGTTGTGTCAGCACAACTATGGAATATTGTCTACCAGGGAAGTGTTTTAGAGACTCTGTGCCCAGGGGTTTTATCAGGGGCTGTTGATGTAGACACCCTCTGCCTAGCATGTACCAAAATTCCGGACTCCCAGAAGGAAAGCTGGTATTTAGCATAAACCATATTGCTTATACAAACAGATTAGGCACTTTTCAGTTAGGGTGGTTGGAACCCTCTTGAAATACAAGTTCCCAGAAGCTAGCCAAGGGCCAACCTTGCAAGCAGGCCTTTGCAAGGATAGCAGTTTAGGCCTGTTAACTCTTTTCTGTAGTACCTATGTAGTCAACATTTACTCATCTTACTAGGAAAAATTGCTGGCGATCTAAAATAGGTCGGCAATATCATATCTCCTATAATCAGTGAGTTTTCTTCTCAGCAAAACTCTGACAAATAATCAGTAGTGAGGAAGATAAATAAAACAAAATTTATCTTCTTTAACATTCTCAGGAAATCATCCTCAATGGAGAAAGAGAGCAAAATTCTTCTCAGTCATAAGCTTAAGATTTTAATCTTTTAAGATATTTTTAATTGAGGTTATCAAAATGCCAATGTTGCAGTAAATAACATTTTCTTCCTTCGTTAATTTTTGTTAATAGGTAGACAAAATGACTGTGAGAAATTATGTATTCACTCTTTTTTTTTAGCCTAAGAAAGCTGTCAAGGTAAAACCTCGTCCACCTACAGCTCCTCGACCTTCTAGTAGTTCTACGGCAGCTGCTCGCCACAGATTGTTAAGGGTTCTCCCCCACATTGGGCAGTCATGTTTACCTTCTCCTGATAATGCATATCTACCTGAAACTTCCAGCAATGCAGTTTCAAGTTTGGCAACTCTGCCCCCTGCTGATAGACCCGTGTCATCTATCACTAGCGATTTTCTTAAGGAAGATTATAACTGGGAGAGTAACACACTGTCTCATTCCAATAGTAGCATCAAACTACCACCTCAGATACCCCATATGGAGTTGGAAAATGACAAAGAGCTTGCTGATTCTGTTCTCCATCTTGGATCATCCCTGCCTAGGCGGACAAAACACTTTTCAGGAAATTTGTCATCTAATAATGAAGATGACACTGTTTTATTTTCAACTTCGGAAGAATGTGTAACTGAAGAGTCACTTCTACCTGAAGTGGGTTCATTTGCTACATTTACAGAAGGAAACACTGATGAACAGAGCAGTGGCTTAGAAGTCACACCGAAGGTAAATTCAGAGTTCTTACTCACTAATGATGACAAAGGGTTGAAAGCTGCAGAGCAGCATCTTAAACATGTTGCAAGAATGTTGAATGGTGAATCGGTAGAAACTACAGTTCTCAACCACCGTGAATTAAGTCCTCACAAGAATAGACTCCTGTCACCTCTTCGCTGTTCTACACCAGTGTCGCTCCATAATTCTCTGGTGAAATCACAGAGGCAGTCCAAATGTTTTGAGTCTGGGAATTTCCAGTCTCCTGCATCACAAAATGTGCTTCGGTCATTGGATGTTCGAAATATAACTGATTCTTCTTTCTCTAGGACTACTCGCTTTCGAGCTGTTAAAGTTGATTCACCCGGGAAAAGATCTGATATTATTTCTAAAGTTGAGGCTCGGGATATTACAGAAATGGCTAACAAGGCTTCCAAAGAGCCTGTTGGTTGTGTAAATAATATAGGTTTTCTTGCTTCGCTGGCCCGGAGTGCAAGCAGAGATAGCTTACAGAGCACACATGGAGCAGGCAGGCTTCGGACCTCTGGAATTGGGCTGTCTACAAGCCTCCAGCATTTTCAGGAGGAAAATCTTAGGAAAAATTCTCCCCAGTTAGAACCTACAGATTTTTTTCTAGTAAGTATTTGCCTTTCAGTATGCTCTACTAGTTATCCTTAGAGTCATTCAACATATTTAAAATTTGTTTTTTTGTTTACATAAGTAAGGAGGCCTAAGGTTGAATTCTTTTCATAAGTTTCTCATAAAATGTTTATCTAGTTTGTAGAAAATATTTTTGACAGTTGAATTTTAAATAACGTTTTAGTCCTAAATTGAGAACTGTAATTTGAAAATAATTTTGTGCAAACAATTTATGACATATTTTTAATGCTGAATATATATTTTTAAAGATTTTATTTATTTGACAGAGAGACACAGCCAGAGAGGGAACACAAGCAGGGGGAGTGGGAGAGGGAGAAGCAGGCCTCCCGCGGAGCAGGGAGCCTGATGTGGGGCTCGATCCCAGGACCCTGGGATCATGACCTGAGCCAAAGGCAGACACTTAACGACTGAGCCACCCAGGCACCCCTAATGCTGAATATTTTTATCAATTTTTCCCAAATAAGAACTTTTATTTATGCCATAAAATTTCATTCTCTTAAGGAAAAATAATAAGTAAAATATTGCTGGATGTGAGAAACAGATTCCAAGTTAATTTAATTAAAAATTTAATTAAATGAAAGCCCAACAGCATTTCCATAATAAAATACAACCATAATAGTTTCTTAACTATAGGGAACAAACTGAGGGTTGCTGGAGGGGGAGATGGATTGGGGGATGGGGTAATTGAGTGATGGGCATTAAGAAGGGCACTTGATGTAATGAGCACTGGGTGTTATATGTAACTGATGAATCACTAAATTCTACCCCTGAAACTAATAATACACTATATGTTAACTAACTTGAATTTAAATAAAATATTAAAAAATACAAGTATTTCATGTTTAGTGATCTTTTCTTCTGTTCTTCATTAACTTACCTCTGTAGATGTTTTGTGTTTTAATTATAGTCTGCCCGTGGTATTGGAATGATTGGAAATAACACAGCAGCAGGGAGAAGAGTAGGTAAGCTGCCAATAATTTTGAAAATATAAGCCTAACAATCATTTCGTTATGCATACTGTATTTTCAGAGAGAAAAGAAGAACATTCTTTGTGGTATGTATGGAGTAAATTCTCCCTAAACTTTGTTCCACTTAGAAAATGATTATGAGAACTGACTGTAGGACATATTTGAAGAATAAAACTAAAATTGAAATTAAGGTCTCTGTTGTCTTGGGAAAAGATATGGTCTATGTAAAAAGATAAGAAGAATGAAGAATTAACATGTAATTCCCAATCCTCTCAGTCACTGGCCACTCTACAGCCAAGCTGGGCTGCTGGGTGGGTTTTGTGAAAGTATCCTAGAGAGGTGTTTCTTAATATCATGATCCAGTATCAAGGATGGTAGTAAGAGCTCCTTTTGATGAACCAATTATTTCTGGATAAAAGGAAAGGACTGTCCTTGAACCAGCCCTTTCCAAAGCTCAGTAGCAAAAGTGGCTATAACATTAGCACTCCCTTCTTCCAGGAACACCTTAAAAGTGCACTGGCCAGTCCTTATTTCCAGGGCAGCCGTTATTATCTCTTCTTTTGTGGTTTAATACCCAGACTAGGGATGGGAACTCATTACCAAAGATGTACCACCTTTGTAGCCCCGGAGTTCTCAAGGATACTTTATAAAAGTATATAAAACGGATGTGACAACCAATATAATGTATATTATGGTTATCACATGAGTTTTATGCCTTTAAAGAGATACTTAGGGTTTATTTTTCACTGCTATGTAAGGCCCAAAGTTTTAAAGTCTTAATATATCTACTTTTTTTCAGTTTTGAATTGTGGTAAAATATACATAACATAAAATTTACTGTCTTAACCATTTTTTTAAAAAGATTTTATTTATTTATTCATGAGAGATAGAGAGAGAGAGGCAGAAGGAGAAGCAGGCTTCCCATGGAGCAGGGAGCCCAATGCGGGACTTGATCCCAGGACCCTGGAATCATGACCTGAGCTGAAGGCAGACACCCAACCATCTGAGCCACCCAGGCACCCCTGTCTTAACCATTTTTAAGCATATAACTCAGTGGCATTAAGTACATTCACATTGTTGGACGGTCCATCTCCAGAACTCTTTTTATCTTGAAAAACTTGAAACTCTGTATCCATTAAACCCTAACTCCTCATTCACCTGCCTCACCCCAGCCTCTAGTAGCCACCATTCTACTTTCTGTCTCAGTAATTTTAAATACTCTAAGTATCTCATATAAGTGGAATCATACAGCATTTGTCTTTTTCTGTCTGGCTTAATTCATTTAGCAAGGTTCATCTATGTTGTAGCATATGTTAGAATTTCCATACATTTTAAGGCCGAATAATTTCCATTGTGTGTATATTCAGCATCTTGCTTATCCATGTATCTCTGGATGGAGACCTGTGCTGTTTCCACATTTTAGCTCTTATGAATAAGGCTGTTAGGAACATGGATGTCCAAATATGTCCTTTTAATTCTTTTGAGTATGTACTCAAAAGTGGAATTGCTGGCTCATATGGTAATTCTATTTTTAAATTTTTAGGAACTGCCATACAATTTTCCATAGTGGCTGCACTATTTTACGTTACCGCCAACAGTGTGCAAAATTTCCAGTTTCTCCACGTTCTTACCAACACTTGTTATCTTCTGGGTTTTTGTTTATTTGTTTGTGTGTTTTTTTGATAATGGACATTCTAACAGGTATGAGGTAGTATCTCTTTGTGGTTTTGGTTTTCATTTCCCTGATGATTAGTGATGTTGGGTATATTTTTATGCGCTTAGCTATTTGTCCGTCTTTGGAGGAATGTCTGTTCAAATATTTTGCCCATTTTTAAATTGGGTTGTTTTGGGGTTTTTTGTTGTTGTTGAGTTTTAGATATTCTCCATATATTCTGGATACCGATCCCTTATCAGGTATATGATTGGCAAATATTTTCTTCCATTCTATAGGTTGCCATTTTACTTTATTGACAGTGTCTTTTTTTTTTTTTAAGATTTTATTTATTTATTTGAGAGAAAGGGCATGAGCAGGGTGAGGGGCTGAGGGAGAAGGAGAAGCAGACTCCCTACTGAGCAGGGAGCCCGACGTGGGGCTTGATCCTGGGATCCAGGGATCATGACCTGAGCCGAAGGCAGACGCTCAACCGACTGAGCCACCCAGGCACCCCTGACAGTGTCTTTGATGGACAATAGTTTTTAATTTTCATGAAGTCCAGTTTGTCTGTTTTTTTCCTTTGGTGCCTGTGACTTTGGTGTTGTGTCCAATAACTCATTGACAAATTAGGGGTGTCTGGGTGGCTCAGTCAGTTAAACATCTGCCTTTGGCTCAGGTCATGATCCCAGGGTCCTGGGACCAAGCCCCACGCCTGGCTCCCTGCTCAGCGGGGAGCCTGCTTCTCCCTCTCCCTCTGCCTGCCACTTGCCCTGCTTGTGTGCGCACGCTCTCTCTCTGCCCCCTCCTTTGTCAAATAAATAAAATCTAAAAAAATAAAAATAAAAAATAAATCGTTGCCAAATCCACTGTCATGAAGCTTTCCCCCTATATTTTCTAGGAGTTTTATAGTTTTAGGTCTTATAGGTCGGTCTTTGATACATTTTGAATTAATTTTTTTAATGTATATATTTTTGTATATGGTGTAAAGTAAGGGTCCAACTTTATTCTTTCTCATGTGTATATCCTGTTTTTCCAGTGCCACTCATTAAAAAGACCGTCCTTTCCCCATGAATGGCCATGGGCACCCTTGTCAAAAATCATTTGACACTGTATGTAAAGGTTTCTTTCTGGGTTCTTTATTGCCTTTCTTTATGCCAGTACCACACTGTTACTATAATATATCTGTGTTTAACTCTAATTTGGCCTTTGGTGCTTTTTCACTTCTCTTCTCACTCTTCCTCTGAAATTCCTGTTGCTGAGGTCACCAAAGATGTCCACAGTTTCAAATCCAGTGGATACTTTTGTATCCTTATCTTGTTTGATTGTTGTGGCCTTCCATCTTGAAATAGTTTCTTTCTTTTCCTTTGTTTCTCTTTTTTTCATTTCTTCTTCTTCTTTTTTATTATGAGCTATCATATTGTTGTAGATTTTTGTTTTGTTTCATTTTCTTAAACCTGAGTTTCTTTTTTAACTTGTTTTACCATCCCTCGCTTGTCCCCAGGTATACACTCTTTTTGTTGATTTCATTTAAGTCAAGCCATCAGCTGCTACCTGCAGTGATCATCACCTGAACTAGAGCTGTGTAACTTGCTGCCATTTCCTTTCAGTAATACCTGTATCATTCTGAATTTCCTTGAGTCTGTGAGAGTTTTGGTATAAGTTTTATTTAATTGATTTGCTAAGTTCTTCCATTGGTTTTCTTTGCTTTTAACTTACAGGGTCTCCCTTGGAAATCTTATCCATCGTTTAGTCATCATTTTTAGGCAGAGATTACCAAACTTGCATCCAGAACACTACTCTTATTACTTTGTTGGCTGTCTTTTCTGTTGGGTAAATTTTTTTTTTAAAGATTTTATTTATTTATTTGAGAGAGAGAGAGTGAGAGAGAGAGCACAAGAGGGGGTAGGGTTAGAGGGAGAAGCAGACTCCCCGCCGAGCAGGGAGCCCGATGTGGGACTTGATCCCGGGATTCCGGGATCATGACCTGAGCTGAAGGCAGTCGCTTAACCAACTGAGCCACCCAGGCACCCTCTGTTGGGTAAATTTTTATAGATCATTGTCTTAGATCAATTATTAGACTAGGGAATGCCAAACAAGTGAGTTATTCCAAATAACTTTAATCTTGTTTTGAAAAGCAACTTTTCACATTGGAATTATTTTATTGACTTTTCTTTATTCATATGTCCAATGCACATTTGAGAAAAGGCTTCAGAGAAGAATTGATAATTGATGATATGTTCTTACAAGATGAATAGAGTTTTACTAGGTTGACAAGGTGGAATAGAGCATTTTAGAAGAGACTGCACCTGTGAGTGGGGTCTGCTGCTTCACTGAGAATGGGTATGATGTGATAAATGACAGAAAATGACTCTGGAAGTTAGAAAGATATCATATTGGACATATAAGACCCTGAATGCCAGTGTAAAGAATAGTAGGAAACATGTATACTCGTGATGGGTCCTATCATGAAGTAGATGACTTATAAATGGTTTTATTTAAGAGGTTTATTTAAAAAGTTTATTTATATAAAAGAATAGATGTGTATATGGAAACCACTTTCATAGGAGAAGTCTGCGTTTGTGTCATTACCATGTTGTATGTTTCTGCACATTCACAAGAGTTCTTGAATGAAAAAGTTTGGGAAACCTTAAGTGAGGCAATTTCAAGGAAAGAAAAAAAAATGAAAATATGACTACACTGAACTAAATTATTATCAACAGGTTATTCCATTGGGGAAGAATATTCTAAACCTGAATTTCAAAGATAATTGCAATTAATGAGTTTCCAGAGGATATCTGGTACTATATATACCTTTCCTGTGTGTCCTTTGCAAATGCTTATCTTATTTTCATTTTTTAAGAAGTGGAAAGTACCCCATCACCTTGTTCTTGATAACTCTAAGTGCACTTGAAGAAGAAAATGCTTATTAACTGAGTTAGCACTCGGGCACCACTGGGAGTCATTCACTTAGTTTTCAGTTTTGTTTCTACCATTAGGAGTCATTTAGTTAGTTTCCAATTTTGTGTACAGTTTTAGGCAAGATCTAGGAAAGTATTTCAGACTGGTAATAAAGCTGACAATGTTACTGGGTTTGTATATCCAGCACCCAATCTGGGTGGCAAAACGTACAGCACCAATTCTTTGTAATTCCAATTTTTTGAACCCTTGAAGGATTTTCAGAGACTTTTAGCTGCCATATAAACATTAAGCCCAGGCCTCCCAAACCTTTTTCAGTAGTGAATAGGTACCAGTACCACTGAGACTCTACCACTTTTCTTTTCATTCTTTTCCCCTTGTTTTTGTTTTCTTTGTTTGCCTCTTGCTTCTTGGCCTTTTAGTGCCACCAAGCACAGTGTGCTTGTGCTGTTATTGTAACAACTATGGGCAGTGACTTGGAGCCTCTCTGCTTGAGTCAGGTTTGTTGGAATTTTGCTCAGTTCTAAGAGTATTTCACTTAGTAATTAAAGAAATTGATTTAATTATTTCTTTTTCTATTTATTTATTATTTTTAAAAGATTTCATTCATTTATTTGACAGAGAGAGACACAGCGAGAGAGGGAACACAAGCAGGGGGAGTGGGAGAGGGAGAAGCAGCCCGATGCAGGGCTCGATCCCAGAACCCTGGGATCATGACTCAAGCCGAAGGCAGATGTTTAATGACTGAGCCACCCAGGCGCCCCTATTTATTTATTTTTAAAGATTTTATTTATTTATTTTGGAGAAAGCGAGAGCACGAGCGGGGGTGGGGGAAGAAGGGAAGGGAGAAAGAAAAAATCTGAAGCAGACTCCACAGTGAGCAGGGAGCCCGACGCGGGGCTTAATCCCAGGACCCTGAGATCATGACCTGAGTCAAAGGCAGACGCTTAACCAACTGAGCCACCCAGGCAACCTGATTTAATTATTTCTTATGTAATAACAGCTGTTTTTTTTATTATGTTCAATTAGCCAACATATAATACATCATTAGTTTTTGATGTAGTGTTCAGTGGTTCATTAGTTGCTTATAACACCCAGTGCCCATCACCACACGTGCCCTCCTTAATACCCATCACCCTGTTACTCTGTACCCCCAACCCCCTCCCATCTGTAATCCTCAGTTTGTTTCCCGGAGTCCAGAGTCTCTTGTGGTTTATCTCCCTCTCTGATTTCTTCCCATTCAGTTTTCCCTCCCTTCCCCTGTGGTCTTCCGCACTATTCCTTATGTTTCACATATGAGTGAAACCATATGATTATTGTCTTTCTCTGCTTGACTTATTTCACTTAGCATAAAACCCTTCAGTTCCATCCATTTTGATGCAAATGGTTTTTTTAAGATAAAAAACCAAGTTGTTACAATAGTACAAAATTTAGTAAATATTTTTTGGAAAGGTAGTAGTACTGTGAGATTGAGCAGTGCACCATATTAGTCACTATTGATGACGGGATATTTTATGTAATTAATAACATTTAAAATTTTCAGAATGCTTTTTACATGTGAGAACTGAGTTGACCTTAAAACACTTAGAAACCTACGGGAAAAAAATATATGTTATGTTGTCTTAAAAATGAATAAATTAAAGTTTTGAAAGAATAAATAGGGGTGCCTGGATGGTTCAGGTGGTTAAGTGTCTGCTTTCGGCTCAAGTCGTGATCTCCAGGTTCTGGGATCAAGCCCCATGTCAGCCTCTCAGCTCAGCAGGGAGTCTGCTTCTCCCTCTCCCTCTGCCTCTCTGTCTGCTTGTGCTCTATCTCTCTCTCTCTCAAATGAATAAATAAAATCTTAAAAAAAAAGAAAGAATAAATAACTTGCTTGTGGTTTGATGAATATAATTTCAGTGGTGTAATCAGGACTAAAAGACCAGTTTCATGATACTCTGGTGCTTCTTCTTGATGTAAAAGTATTCTTTTATTTTCCCTATTGGGTGTTTGTGTTATATATTACATTGTTTTCTCTCAGAGGCCTCATAAAAATTATTTTGATCCAGAAATTTTTTTTGATTCCCTGTCGAAGTTTGATGTACTTTACAATTACGGATTGCCTTTGGAAGTAATCAGAAAAGTGCCAGTGTGTACAGAAGTCCTGAAAACAATAAGTCTCAGTCAGTAGAAACTTACTGCATCTTTAAAAATACAACAGTTCTGCATCTTCACTTGTAGATTCTGTAGATAATTTTGGATATAAAAATAGCACAAATTAATTTTTTAAACTTTTTTTTTTTAAAGATTTTATTTATTTATTTGAGACAGAGAGAATGAGAGAGACAGAGAGCACATGAGAGGTGGGAGGGTCAGAGGGAGAAGCAGGCTCCCTGCTGAGCAGGGAGCCCGATGCGGGACTCGATCCAGGGACTCCAGGATCATGACCTGAGCCGAAGGCAGTCGCTTAACCAACTGAGCCACCCAGGCGCCCAGCACAAATTAATTTTTTATGGCAAGGAAGTTTCCTGTGACAGGGATGTGTTTTATATTTTGCTTAATACTATTTCACATTTAAAATGCTGTGCCTGTATTAACCAAAGTATTCTTTCTTTAAATAGGAGAATGTACTCATCACCTCCCACCTGTGAAAGCCCCTATTCAAACAAAGAAGAAAGCAACAAAGCATTGTTTCCTTTGTGGGAAGAAAACTGGACTGGCTACTAGCTACGAATGCAGGCAGGTTGGCTGGCTGGAAAAGCTGAGATGCTTTCTTTGTGGTGACCCAGCATGGGGATACAGTGTAACACATTCTTTAAATTGGCTATTCATAACATCATTAAGATGATGTTCAAATAGCAGCCCTCAGTTGAGTTCCTAATTGGTTAAAGTGAAGAGTAAGTAGACAGCTCCTGAGTTTATAAATCATGAGATCCTCTCCTGTCCTTCAAGTTAGGAGATTTAAATCAATGGGAGAATGTACTTTCTTTGTCTTATGATAGATATGCTTGGTTTTTGTTTGAATACAAATTAGAAGAACCCCTCCTCCAAGATTCTGTTTTAAATTGGACAGAAAAGGGACTAAATTTAAAGTTATTGTAATTTAACTATTATATGGTACAGTTTTATTTGAAAATGGATGAATAGTATATTCACAAAAAATAATGAATTTTCTCATAATTATTTCTTTCATTAGCATTGATTAATATGTTCTGAGGATGGTATCTGCCCTTAGTTTGAGTGCAGGCATTAAAATTAACTGCTGCTTCTTAGAGTATGTTTTATTCAAATAGAAACAGCTCATCTTGTTTGGTAGAAATATTTTAAAAGCCCTTTCATAATTAGGTTTTATGTGATTTTTTTTTTGAGACTGAATTTCTCACAAATTCAGTTCTCCCAGGTTTACTGGTTATAAGAGAAATGATAGACATATTTATCAGCTTTTGCAATTTTACTGCTTCATAAAGATCTGTATCCTGTTTCATTCAATAATAGATTCTTTATTATAAACTCTCATATTCATGGATAGTTAACTTTTTCTTTTTGGGGTACTTGTGCTGGTTTATGAGCACAAGGGAAATGTCTATGCTGAAAATTGGTAAGAGAACCAGAGGGCTCCTGTTGGATACCCGAAGTCCAGATCTGATCTTCCAAAGAGATGAGCCTCTATAGAAATGTGACATTCACATGAACTTTTTTTGTGCTTTAGATGTGGAAACAACTTCTGTGCATCTCATCGCTATGCAGAAACTCACGGCTGCACCTATGATTACAAGAATGCAGGGAGGAGATACTTACAGGAGGCAAATCCAGTGGTTAACGCACCCAAACTTCCAAAAATCTAGCTCTTGCTCTGCACCTAGGAATTGTATTACAGTGACAGAAGAAATATTGTTCAGACTGCATTATTTTTGTTCGACTCCAAAAGATTTGCCAAATGACAAAAGCATACAATGCATACTGTTGGAGAAAGAATACTACTGTATTTGACATCTTTATCCTTTGGTGAATCAAAAGTTTTAAAAGTAGTTTTAAAAACTTTATAATGATTTAGCTTTGTTATTGCATGTCTTGTGTTAACTATTTTATATTTGATATTGCAATTTAATAGGCAAGTCTTCAAAAGATGCACTTTAGGAAGTTATCACTGACTATGTAACCAGCTTCCACATTGCACAGAAATGTGCCGCCATGCAATGGCTCTACTCAAATCCACCACTTTTTTGAGGGGTGTGGGGGGTGGGGATTTGTTTTTTTTTTTTAAATGTGTGAAAATTTATTGAGTTTACTAGCAAGTTCCTTTTTATTTCAAGCTGCTTTTTATAAAAAAGAACATTTTGTTTCCCAGTGTGATTTTAACACATATCTATTTCTTCCATATTCAGATTGGCATTCAGATGTATATCCATTCTATAAAACACATCATGTTAATCATACTATATATTTCTTAAAATACTATTTTTTGAATGGTAGTTTTACAATAGAAGGGGTCTCAGTTGTTGCCATTAAATACGGAATCCAACTTTTCACTTTTTGAAAAATGGCTGCATTTAAAACAAAATCTCACAACTTGGTTTGTTTTTCTTATGAGTTGAGTGCTATTACCAGGAGAAATTGAAATAAATATTCATTTTCATTATGAGTTTGATTATTTGATTATTTACAATAATTTTTCTTTTATAATTTTTAAAAATTTTCTAATTTAAACTCAATTTAATTAACATATACTATATTGTTAGTTTCAGAGGTAGAATTTAGTGATTCATCAGGTGCATATAACACCTAGTGCTCATCACATCACGTGTCCTCCTTAATGCCCATCACCCAATTACCCATTCCCCCACCGACCTCCCCTCCAGCAACTCTCAGTTTGTTTCCTATAGTTAAGCGTCTCTTATGGTTTGCCTCCCTGTCTTTATCTTATTTTATTTTTCCTTCCCTTCCCCTATGTTCATCTGTTTTGTTTCTTAAATTCCACAAATGAGTGAAATCATATATTTGTCTTTCTCTGACTTATTTTGCTTGGGATAATACCCTCAACCATTTCATTAAATAAATCAGTAATTTATTCTACTTGGAAAAAATGACTATCTGTATAAAGGTATTCTTTTAGGGTATAAGGGCCCTGTTCCTCAGATAACCAATATAACCAATATAAGCTTTTGGGAGTTCACTTGCTTCATGAAAGCTTAGTTGAATCAGATCCTGAACCCTGGTAAACAGGTAGCAGGTAACCCAAATAGACTTTGCAACTCTAGCCCAACCCAAGTTGGATCTGCAGTGGTACCAGAAGGCTAATTTAGGTGCTCTGCAGGGTCTCTTTCTCCACACAGGGGTGAATGAACTGGAGCATTCTGCTACCCTTCTTTCTACTTCCTAAAAGAGATTGAATGTTAAGTGGATAAAGAGCCTTTATCTTTCTGAAGGCATCTCAAGATGCTCCTGATCAGGAAGGAAATATATTTACAGGTGGGAAAGATACTAGTGGAGGATTGATACAATTAGGGGTTGGTGGCATACTTTTTAAGGGGAGCTATACAAACTAATGAAAATATTTACATTTGTGTTGAGTAGGTTAGTTCTTCCCCGCACCCTCTTATCAAGACAATATGTGCTTTAGACATTTAAAATTTATTACATGGGTAGGCTGCTGGAAAATGGACCCAAACTTATTCTACAATAAATATGAATGGTTAGGGTATTGATATATGCTTATTAGCACACTATGCTTTTTTAAACTAAGACCATGTAGAAATAAGTCCTACGTTTACCGAAGATTTTGGTCAAAGTTGAGTTTTTTGTCCTTGTTGTTTTACTAGTTTTTAAGTCACTGGGAGAGAAACCAGTTGATTCAAGAAATAATATCATTGGAAAGCATTTCTTTATGCTTTAAATTCTTATAAAGAGGTGATCATGATTTTACAGATCTCAGATCTGTCTTTACATCCCCAGGAATTATCAGAGTGCTTTGCATGTAGACACTGGTTAAACATTAGTTAAATAAATTAATTATATTGGACAGTTTAACCGTGATGAAAATGAAGGTGTTTATATTGTTTTATATAACTAAACTAATTTTATGTGATAAAATTCAGTTTCTGGATTTTATTTTTTTTGAGGTGGGGGGTGTGCAGAGGGAGAGAGAGAATCTCAAGCAGGCTCCACATCCAACCCAGAGCCCTACACAGGGCTCAATCTCACGACCCTGAGATCATGACCCTAGCAGAAGTCAAGATTTGGACGCTTAACCAACTGAGCCACCCAGGTACCCCCTCTGGATTTTATTTTTAAACAGTAAGTATTTGGTTTTAGCAACATTAAAAGTTAAAATGTTTAACTTTTAGCTTTGTGAAATATTTTTTTAAATTTTATTTTATTATGTTATGTTACTTACCGTACAATACATCATTAGTTTTTGATGTAGTGATCCACGATTCATTGTTTTTGTATAACGCCCAGTGCTCCATGCAGTAGGTGCCCTCCTTAATACCCATCACCAGGCTAACCCATCCCCCGGCCCCCCTCCCCTCTAAAACCCTCAGTTTGTTTCTCAGAGTCCATAGTCTCTCATGGTTCATCTCTCCCTCCGATTTCCCCCCCTTTTCCTTCCTTCTCCTAATGTCCTCTATGCAATTCCTTATGTTCTACAAATAAGTGAAACCATATGATAATTGACTTTCTCTGCTTGACTTATTTCACTTAGCATAATCTCCTGCAGTGCCAACCATGTTGATGTAAAAGTTGGGTATTCATCCTTTCTAATGGCTGAGTCATATTCCATTGTATATATGGACCACATCTTCTTTATCCATTCACATCTGTTGAAGGGCATCTTGGCTCTTTCCACTATTGCGGACATTGCTGCTATGAACATTGGGGTGCATATGGCCCTTCTTTTCACTATATCTGTGTCTTTGGGGTAAATACCCAGCAGTGCAATTGCTAGGTCATAGGGTAGCTCCATTTTTAAATTTTTGAGGCACCTCCACACTGTTTTCCAAAGTGGCTGTACCAACTTGCATTCCCACCAACAGTGTAAGAGGGTTCCCCTTTCTCCACAACCTCTCCAACATTTGTTGTTTCTTTCCCTGTCCATTTTTGCCATTCTAACTGGTGTAAGGTGGTATCTCAGTGTGGTTTTGATTTGGATTTCCCTGACGGCTAATGATGATGAACATTTTTTCATGTATCTGTTAGCCATTTGTATGTCTTCTTCAGAGAAGTGTCTTTTCATATCTTCTGCCCACTTTTTGACTTGATTATTTGTTTTTTGGGTGTTGAGTTTGAGAAGTTCTTTATAGATTTTGGATACCAGCCCTTTATCTGTAGTGTCATTTGCAAATATCTTCTCCCATTCTGTGGGTTGCCTCTTTGTTTTGTTGACTGTTTCCTTTGCTGTGCAGAAGCTTTTTATCTTGATGAAGTCCCAAAAGTTCGTTTTTGCTTTTGTTTCACTAGCCTTTGGAGATGTATCTTGAAAGAAGTTGCTGTGGCCGATGTCAAAGAGGTTACTGCCTATGTTCTCCTCTAGGATTTTGATGGATTCCTGTCTCACATTGAGGTCTTTCATCCACTTTGAGTTTATCTTTGTGAATGGTGTTAGAGAATGGTCGAGTTTCATTCTTCTGTATATAGCCATCCAATTTTCCCAGCACCATTTATTGAAGAGACTGTCTTTTTTCCATTGCATATTTTTTCCTGCTTTGGCGAAGATTATTTGACCATAAAGTTGGGGGTCCATATCTGGGCTCTCTATTCTGTTCCATTGGTCTATATGTCTGTTTTTGTGCCAGTACCATGCTGTCTTGGTGATCACTGCTTTGTAATATAGCTTGAAATCCGGCAACGTGATGCCCCTAGCCCCCATTTGTTTTTCTTTTTCAACATTTCCTTGGTGATTCAGGGTCTTTTCTGATTCCATACAAATTTTAGGATTATTTAGTCCAGCACTTTGAAAAATGTCATTGGAATTTTGATCGGGATGGCGTTGAAGGTATAGATTGCTGTGGGTAGCATAGACATTTTAACAATGTTTATTCTTCTGATCCATGAGCGTGGAATGTTTTTCCATCTTTTTGTGTCTTCTTCAATTTCTTTCATGAGTGTTCTGTAGTTCCTAGAGTATAGATCCTTTACCTCTTTGGTTAGGTTTATTCCGAGGTATCTTACGGGTTTTGGTGCTATTGTAAATGGAATTGTTTCTCTAATTTCTCTTTCTACAGTTGCATTGAAGAAGTCAAACTCTCTCTCTTCGCAGATGACATGATACTTTATGTGGAAAACCCAAAAGACTCCACCCCCAAATTACTAGAACTCATACAGCAATTCAGTAATGTGGCAGGATACAAAATCAATGCACAGAAATCAGTTGCTTTCTTATAGAATATATTATTTTATACCAACATTTATAAATAGTACTTACTAAAATTTGCACAACACAGTGAAAGCTATAGTTTACCAGAGAATAATGCTATTGTTTTTTTTTTTTTTAAGGTTTTGTTTATTTATTTGAGAGAGAGAGTGAGAGCATGAGTGGGGGGAGGGACAGAGGGAGAGGGAGAAGCAGACTCCCCTCTGAGCAGGGAGCCTGATGTGGGGCTCAATCCCAGGACGCTGGGATCATGACCTGAGCCGAAGGCAGACACTTAACTGATTGAGCCACCCAGGTGCCCAAAAAAGATTTTCCTTGAAAAAAATTTCATTTAAGGGGGACCTGGGTGGTTCAGTTGGTTGGGCATCTTGACTCTTGGTTTCAGCTTAGGTCATGATCTCAGGGTCATGGGATTGAGAACTGCTGTGGGCTCCACACTTAGTGGGGAGTCTGCTTGAAATTCTCCCTCTTCCTCTACCCATCCCCCTCTTTCTTTCTCTCAAGTGAGTAAATCTTTTTAAAAATTTCATTTAAGTACAGTATTCAGTTATTCAATAAATATTGAGCATCTATTAGTGTCATGCGCTATTGTAAGTGCAGCAGATGTACTGTTTAACTAAATAACATTCCTGCTTTCATTGCATGCTTACATTCTAGAGGAAAAAATAAATATGCCAGATGGAGAATCGGTGTGTTAGGATGCTGTATTCAGTTACCAGGGCTGCCATAATAAAGTACCACAGACTGGGCAGCTTACACAACAGACTTATTTTCTTACAATTCTGGAGGCTAGACGTCAGAGATCCAGGAGTTGGCAGAATGAGAAGAATGTCATTGGTTTGCAGATAGCCACTTCTCCCTGTGTCTTCACATGGTCTTTCCTCCATGCACAGCTGTGTTCTAATCTCCTCTTCCTATGCGGACACCAATCTTAATGGATCAGGGCCTACCCTAATGACCATATTTTGTCTTATCACATCTTCAAATTCCCTATTGTTGAGGGGTGAACTAGGGGCACCCCGCACCTTGGGGCCTCAACCCAGCCGGACCTGAAGGAGTCAGCAAAAGTTCTTAGTCTCATCAGGAGAAGGAATTCAGGACAGACATGGCAGCACAGCAGATGAGTAATGGATGTGGGAAAGTTTATTAAAGTGAAAAATACGCTCTCAAGATATGAGGAGTGAGACAGACACGGAAAGAAAGACAGCACTGTGTTCCCTGGGGGTTGGCTTGGGTTTCTATCTTTTATAGATAGTTGTTAACTAGGGGATAGAATAGTTATTACTTGGGGCAGGAAGCTGAGTTTCTCGCTTTTTCTTCCTAATTTGGTCAGAGGTTTCCTGTCATGGTATCCTCCATCTTGGGTCTGTCTGGTTTGATCTGGCTTCTTGTGGCATGCTGCCAGGATAGGTCTCTGACTTTCCCTGATAGCTGACCAGGACCACCTCATTGTTGGCCTCCAGGTATCCTATTAGAACCTAACTAACTGCTGACTCTATCTCCAATACAGTCACAGTATGAGGTACTGGGGTTTAGGAGTTCAACATATAAATTATGGGGAGACATAATTCAGACCATAGCAGATTCTGTATATTTCTGTGGTAACAGATTAACCCCCAAAGCTCAGTGGTTTAACTCAACAAAGTTTATTCCTCACCCATGCAAAATCCAGTGAGCCAGGCAACTTCCCAGGCTAGCTACCTGATGAGGAAATGTAGGCTGATTCGGGCCATTTCCATTGTATGGTTTTGCCAATGCAACATGTATTCTCTAAGATTGCTGCCCCAGGGGAGAGAG